CAGGAAATAAATTGTCTTTGGCATGTGTCAAGTCAGTGAAAAGGGTAGAAAGAAAAAGGACTGTAATCTGTTGTAATGAATAATAATAAAATGGACTTTAATCTCTCTCCTTCTGACTTCAAGGGGAGTGAGCTGACCTCAGAATCATTTTCCTTCCTGGGAATACTTAAGGCCAGCATAGCATGTTTGTTACTGAAATTGAGAAGTTTCCTTATAAAGACAAATATACAATTTCCTGCATGTTGAGCACTGTCGGCCTTGAGCTTTACCTTAACAGAGAAGTTATACCAACTGCTCTGAAAACTAGCAGTTTTTCTGCCCTCTCCTCTGTGTAAGATTAGATGAGCTGTGTTGACATGCTGCCTTTTCAAAATTACCCTTATTTTCTTTACTCATTGGTATCCTTCAGGAAATGTTATGGTGTAAATTCAACAGGCTTCATTTTCAGCAACAGATCCAGAGCACAGGAACTCTAACTGGCTGAGAGAAATGGTTTGGAGAGGTGAACTGGGGGATGGATGAGGATAGCTGTAGGATGGAGTGTGGTCACAAATAATGTTGAGGGGAAAAGTAAGGGGAGAAAGTGCAATGCATAATTTTTAAAGTTGCACCACGGAAAGGAAACATTAATCAGGCATATAATGAAGAAGCTTTCAAATTTAGTATCCCTGAAAGACATATAGTTACGCTGCCCATAATGAGTCTTTGAATTTTCCATCTGGATTTCCTTTCTTATGGAGTTTTATCTTACTTTATTTCTATCATTGGTGAGTTTAGAACATAGCTGGAATGTAGTATTTGCACATAAACATATTTCAAGACAGCATGTTTAAATCACCATTGTCAGCTCAAGAACAGCCTATACAGAGGGCACAGTCCCATGTAATGAAGTTTTAATCATAGCCCTATGTAACATATTAGTTTTAATAAATAACAAATCTAACTTAAACCTATATCCTTAATGTAAAAACCTTTTAATTGCAGCTCATTGCTGGTTTTCTCAATCCCAATCTTGCAAACCTCAACAAACCCCTTTCCATTTCCTCTTCTAGGTGGCCGATGCTGTGCCTTTTCTCCTGATGGGAAAGCCCTGGCTGTGGGGCTGAATGATGGCAGTTTCCTGGTGGTGAATGCTGACACTGTGGAGGACATGGTTTCTTTTCACCACAGAAAGGAAATGATCTCGGATATAAAGTTTTCACGAGGTATAACCAGATGATAACGTGAAAGGGGAGTGTTTATCTTGGAGTTTGGTTTTCTTCTGTAAACAAGTGATTGAATGTTCCAAAGGCTTTGTATGTACTCCATGAGTTTCAATACTTTGCAGTTCCTTATGGTTGTGAGCAGCCTAGTATAATGGACACAGCCCTGACTGCTGCATTTGGATGCACTGCAGTAGTGAAAATGCTTAGCAGTGTTAACTAGAAGATGAGTCTCTTTGATCACCTCAGTGTCTCCTCTTTACAGAATCGGGAAAGTACTTGGCTGTGGCCTCACATGATAACTTTGTAGATATTTACAACGTCCTTACCAGCAAAAGAGTTGGCATTTGTAAAGGTGCATCCAGCTACATCACGCACATCGACTGGGACTCCAGAGGTAAAGTGTTTGCCCAGAGGTAGATTGGAAATGCCCATAAAACAGAATATCAGGAAACTGTTGCCCTCCCAGTTACTGAGGTCAGCTGTAAGCACTGATGCAAATGGTTTTGCAGTATGGAACACCATATGGGTCCAGTGCAATTACATTTGTTGGTGTCCAGTTTCCTTCCTTTGCTGAGCTCCACATGGCAATCACTGCAATGAAGGTAGAGACTGCTTGTCACAGCTAATTATGTCTAGCAGAATCTATAATGAGCTCATGCCAATAAGTCTTCCTAGAGCTAATATGATTCTGTGTGAGACCACCTGTGTGTCTGAGCCCTGCTTTCCCTGTGTGCTAGACTCCAAATGTGGTGCAAGCTCACTAACACCACAGTATTTGTATGGGCATGGCAACCTTACCATCCAAGGATAGTTTGGTGTGTAGCTGACTGTGCAGTGCAGCAGTGCAAAAGAGACAGGAGCCAACAATGTTTTAACATTTTGGCAAAGCTATCTTGTAAAATTGTTATGAAAATTAATAGCACATGCATTGATATTTTACCTCCTCCAACATGATGATGGAACACTAGCAAAATATTCCTTATCAGCAGAAACTGAGTTGCTACACAACAGTAACTTTTTAAGGGTATTTGATGGTATTTTAAAATACTACTTATTCAGTGAATCGGGAGTATGGAATCCTTCGGTGAGTGATCTTAAGCACCCGTTTTACTTTTCCTATGAATAACTCGCTGGAGGATAATTTTTTAATTAACTGCTAGAAATCTTTCCACTCAATCAAAAGACAGTTCAACCAAGTCATAATAATGGATAAGATTCACAATGAACTCTCCTTTTGTATCCAGGAAAGTTATTGCAAGTCAATTCTGGTGCCAAAGAACAACTCTTTTTTGAAGCACCGAGGGGGAAAAGACACATTATAAGAATTGCTGAGGTATGAGTTGTTTACTGGAATTTATTTTTTTTTACTGTGAAGGTTAATTTCAAGAACTGTCTTCAAATGGTGGATTTTTTTCCTTTTATGATACTATATTTGCAGGGGTTAAAATTAGAATTATTTAATCATTCTGTATAGTGTCTTTCCTAGCATTTGTAAATGGCAGAACTTAGGTTTCTGTTTGTATCTCTGAGTTTATTGTTGCTTGTTTATTAGCAGCCATTAACCATAATCCCCTTTCCTGAAGTCTCCTGTTTTCTCTGTAACCAGCGTGCATCCTTAAACAGTGTGACTTGACTTTTCATGAGGTGGATTATTTGTGACATGTAATTCTGCTACAAAATTGCCAAAGTTTAGCACCTCAGGAAATCTTTAGGGAGATTTGTATCCAGATCATGCTGTGCCTTGGGAATGTTTAACATGTCAGGCTTGTTTGATGAAGATACACAGTTAACAAGCTGGAAACGGTGAACAGCTTTTTTAAAAAAACCAAACTGAAACACAGAAAAATATATGCATGAAACTAGTGTATATTTGGTATGTATTAAGATGACTTAAGATGACTTCTTTGGGGGAAATTTGATTGCAGATAGAGAAGATCGAGTGGGACACCTGGACATGTGTTCTTGGTCCCACTTGTGAAGGAATTTGGCCCATGCACAGTGATGTGACCGTTGTGAATGCTGCCAGTCTTACAAAAGACAGAACCCTGTTAGCTACAGGAGATGATTTTGGGTTTGTGAAGCTTTTTTCATATCCTGTGAAGGTAATAAGTGTATTTATTTGAGTGATTAGAAAGGGAGACACTGTTCCCAACCTGTCAGACTGCTAATTTGGGAATTGTTTGTGCTCCAGGGCCAACATGCAAAGTTCAAGAAGTACGTGGGGCACAGCGCCCAGGTGACCAACGTGCAGTGGCTGCACAACGACTCCGTGCTGCTGACTGTAGGTGGTGCTGACACAGCTCTCATGATCTGGACCAGAGAGTTTTTGGGTATTCAGGAGAGTAAGCTGGTTGATAGTGAAGAATCAGACACAGATGCAGAGGAAGATGGAGGTAAAAAGGATTTAATTTAGTCTTCATTCTGCAGAGACTCACACAGGCATTTAACTTGAAGTGAGTGAGAAACTTTGCTGTGCTAAATTTCAGTGTCAGGAGAGATTTGTTTCCTTCCTTTTATTGATGCAGATTTTCTTGTTCTCTGCTCTATGAAGAAAGGGGAGTTTATTTTATTTTATGTTTTATTTTTCTAAGGTTATGATAGTGATGTTGCAAGAGAGAAAGCAATTGACTATACCACAAAGATCTATGCAGTAAGCATCCGAGAAATGGAAGGCACAAAACCCCATCAACAGCTGAAGGAAGTTTCAGTAGAAGAGAGGTATGTCCCACAAAGGCTTTCACTTTGAAATGTACATTGTGGTCTTCTATATCTCTTTGCATTCAAAGAAATTAGTCCTTTGAAATAAACAGGAATTTGATATTCACAAGATAACATTTAAAATGGTGTTCACAGGGTGCAATAAGTTCATGTGGTGGAGAAAACTGTGAGTGTTGTGTTCTCTTCTGCTGTTCAAACAAGCACTTATATACTCTTCTGACTAGTATGTGTCTGCAGCAGGGCCCTTGTGATAGACTGAACTTGTAAATACTTGGTAGATAAGGTTTTTGGCGAGGTTTTTATTGAAAGATTTTTGGTAAAATGTGTAATTGTGTTGGGTTGTTACTGCTAAAGCTGTAATTTCCTGTGACACATGTTGGCCTTAGGTTGAATGATTCTAAAAAATAAGCTGGAAAGAGAACAGAGTTGGAGAGGACAGTGAAGAAGAGAGGTAAGAGCTAAGCATAGAGGTGGGGTCTAGAGAAAGATCTGGGGAGGAGAGAGGAAAAATCTGACTGTACCTATAACCAGCAAAGTATATTCCCCTTTCTAATCTGGACCTGTGGATCCAGTTGATGACTCAGCTGTGAATCCATGCTGTCTCTTTTGATGAAATATTGTTTAATAAGTGATCATACTTTTATCAGGAGTTTTCTGTCTCTTGCCCCATGACACAAAGGTCTGCTGTGGGTTAACCCACAGAAAAAGTTTAAGCTTAGTTATTCAGTTATAGCAAGATATGAAATGGAGTTAGTAATACTTCCTAGTCTCATGCAGCCCTCTGAAAAATAAACTAGTTCATGTTTTTAAAGCTCTCAAAGAATGCAGGGCTGAACATCATGGACAGAGAGTAGTAACTAATCATCTTTCACTTAGTTAAATGTGTGAAATAGGAGAATTGGGTGTGAAAAATGAGAATAAAAATGTTGCACTCCTCTTTTATCACAATGTTTTAACAATAACATGCAGCAGGAGGATTAGTGATATTTTCAATAAAATGTTGGACCATAATCTTTTCTTTTCCCCTTCCTATAAGAATATCTCAATTTTCTTATTGACTCATACAAATAATTTGTTCCTCCCTTTTTCTATAAAAAGCCATGGTGTATCATCTAGTAAACATGAATAATTAATGAGTTTAAAAAAAGAAATTAGTTGTTTTGGGCAAATACTGCTAAATTGTTATTACACATGAAATAACAAATGCCAGTGGTACAATGGCAGATGTTTTGCACTAGGAACTCTTGTACCTTCCAGCTGCTTTATTCTGCTTTTATGCTGCAAAAGCAACTGTAGAGTGAGTTTAATTGACCGATTAGGCTGGGCTTAAAATTTTTTTGTACTGCTGAATTGCCAACAATCTGAGCATGAGCATCACTCTCTTCTGCAGCTTTTCAGCACTGTTTTCAGTCCAGGAGTGAAAATCACCCTTTGGGTCCCTGGGCAAGTTCCTTCTCAGGAGCCTGGCCATGGGTGTGCTGTGTGACACCTGCCAGTCTCCTGCTCCTCCCAGAAGTGTGTGTGCCACGCGCCCTTGAGGCTTTGGAGCCAGTCCACATCCTGAGCCCCAGGCAGGGAAGAAATGCTGTGTGCTATCCAGCACTACTAGGCACTGTGGAAGCTGGAAGCTCCTCTGATGTTTCCACACCACCCACTCTGTTGGGGCTAATGACATGGGGAGACACCTCCTCTGCACTGAGGTTGCCTCTGACAGTCTCCTCATAATGACTGTACATGAAAATAGCATGCCAAAGGAATCATCTATCCCATATCATATCCCCAAGTTCTGGATTGAAGAGGATAAAAGGAAGGTTTTAACATTCTCCATATCTTATTTCTTCTTACTGTCTGTGTAATCAACAGGTTTTGTACTTCATTTTAAAACAGGTTAAAAAGAAACCCTTGAAACTGTTCTGCCCATCTTTTCTGCTAAAGAGTTACAGCTGTTGTACATGTTTTTATCAGTCCTTTTTCAATTATAGCTACTTCAGTATGATCACACCTTTGGTATTAGGAATTTGCTGTTTTGATAAATTTGTCAACAGATCCCATAATTTTCATGTGTCACTTTTAGGCAAAGAAAAATTCAATTTCTTCATAGGATTAATATAAATAGCAATAATTTGTAGTGAAATAATGAGAAGCAGCAATTTTATGGTGAAATGCAGGCAAAACTGTGGTTTCTGAGGGTGTGGTACTTGGATAGGGCCTTAAGCTATATAAGGTGCTGGGATTGGGTGCAACAAGGTAAGATTAATGTGCTGGGTACTGCAATTGTCCAAGACTCCAATTCTTGGCCCCAGTTATACAATATCTGCACAATTGATGCAGAATCTTGGCACTCCCAATTGTGGAGTGCTTCAGGGTAAAGCTGACTTCTCACATAAGATGTATGAATTATGAGGGGATCTTTGTAGTTCTGCCAGATTCCATCTTTTCTGGGAACACAACAGAATGAAGCAGCTAGAGGAGGATTTGTCTGACTGTTTTCTAAAAGCTTCCTGAAATCACTGGGCTGGCTTTTCTTTGCACCTCCAAGGGTGCAAAGTGACAGTTGGTCAAGTCAGGTGAAATGGGAAGTCTACAAATACTAACCTGTCAGTGTTCAGGGAAATCTAAGTCCTAAGTCAGCAGGTCTTGAGAATGTGGAGTCCTGAAATCTCTGTGCACAGGGCTGACTGAAATGTGAACAAGTAACATGCCAGTTCCCAAAGCTTTAGATTTTCTGCCAGAGGCACAGCTGAAGTAGTGTCTCCCAGTCCCTTTGGATTTGAAGAAGGGACCCAGGAGGATGAATTCCATTCTCTTTCAAGCAGGTACATAGGAAAACCTGGTAGGCTTTTGAAGGGGAAGATTTTCTGAAGGAAATATTCCAAATCTTTCCTCTCTGTAACTGTGCCATATGTCTGTATGAAGACCCCAGTGATTATGCACTTGATAGGATTTGTGCACTGTGAATATTCTGAGATTGGTAACAAATGCAGAAGGAGTTTGGTCTCAGGAACTGTGATGGGACTCCTGAGAAGATTGCAAGTTGAGAGCCGAGACGGGCAGTGCTGGGTTGTGAGAGGAAAGCTTCGTGGCAAACACCACCTGCCTGGAAAACAATCAGCAATTCACAAATTACTCCCCCAAAATTAATATGAAGACTTACTCTGCTGTGTTTTGGTTGAACAAGAGGAGCCAGCAGTTCTTGTCCTTTCTCTCACAACATGGGAAAGAGAAGAGGAGGACAGGTTGGATATAATACTAAATACAGGATAACTGTGGCTTTGAGCAGCTGCTGTGTATCTTTGTTGCTACTCAGGATGTGCTCTGTGCACAGCAAATCCAGTGAGATGAAACGAAAATCCTTGTCCAGACCTCCAGAGTATATGGCAAACTGGTTGGAGAAATTTCATTGTTATAGAGGGCAAAAGACTTAGATATGACAGACTTGGAGATAATAGTAAGGTTTTTCCTTAGAAAAGAAAATGAAAGCCCTTTATGAAATTTATTTTTCCTGTCTAACTTGAACACAATGAGGAATGTAGAAATCACACTATAGATTTTACTTGCAGGATTTGAATCAAAGCATGATCTGGTATTTTTTTGTGGGGAGTCAACATTTGCTGTTTCCATCAGCAGTTCAGCTTTAGGATGGAAAGCTAACAGGAGAGTTGAGGCTGAGGAACAGTTGTAAAATGTCTTGTGGTTGTATTTGTGCATTTGGTTAAGACCATTAATCGATTGTTGTTTCTCTCTCCTCTCCCCAACCTTCTTGTTTTTCTTTTCCCTTTCCGTGTCTGTCCTCTCCTCCCCACCCACCCTTACTCTTCTCTTCCTTTTTGGCCCCTCTGGTTGGCACCCCTTGCTGTGCCCTGTGGTGCAGAAGTGGGGTGCCCACGAGAGGGGCTGCAGGAGCAGTCTCGCGGTGTGGGAGCTCCAAGGGCAGTGCTCCCACACCACGGGACCCCTTGGGCACTGGTGGGACTGTCCCAGACAATCCAGGACAATTGTAAGCTATGCTCTGTGTCATGTAGGAATTGTGCTGTATTTTTAAAAAGGGCCAACTTTTGAGCTGGGACCACTTTAACTGGCCAAGAACTGATATGATGAGAAGTAACACAAGCTTGTGTGAAGACTGTGTTTATGTTACTAATCCAAAAAGCAAAGATCTGTTTGCATTTGGCCTTCTACTAACCTCTAACACATATTCTGTGTTTGCAGCTTTCATGTAGTTCAATTTGCATGACTCTACATAAACTCTTGTAACATAGATGGTGATGGAAACCTCTTTAAAGCAGGTTGAATGTGGAGAAAACAAAATCAGCATTAGCATGTTTGTCTGGTTTTCTGTTTTCTTAACATCCTGGCTTGTCTCACTCTCCACGAGTTACGTGCCTCAGAGCCTGTTCTCCATCATGGTGTTCTGCATCTTGTGTAATCATATGTTCTGATAAAGATTAAAAGAAGTTGGATTTTCATTCTTCCAATCTTATTCTTTTGATTATAGATTTCTTCAAAACAAGGGGAGCTGAATTATATAAGATTTCAAAATAGCCCCCACAAGCTTTTATAACATAAACCAAATTATTAGACATATGGTTACAAAATTGGTTCCTGTACTTTTACACACACGCCTGTGGGAGCAGTGTAAAAGCTTTGAATGTGACTCTGTGTTGTATGTATGTGTAGGTGGGAACCTATTCAAAATGTATCTGGAAAAACACATCTTTGGGGTGCAGAAAATAACTCTGGGCTTCTTTCAGCAGAAACCTACTGTTTGGGAGTGAGGAACATCATTTGAAACATTCACTTTTACTTTCACAACAGCATTATGTCAAGTTAATGCAACCTAAATGCATTTGACAGCATGCTGGTTTCATCCCAGTTGTCCCCAAGGCCTGAACACATTGTGACTGGTATTTGACAGTCCCTGCCAACCAGCTGAATTCAGAGTCAATCTCACTTCTCCCACAGGTCAGCACAGAGCTGGCACAAAGGTCTTTTTCATTTGTGTGACACTTGGGGATGTGGAGCTGAGGGATGCCAATATTGCCACTATTACTAATGTTTCTCTCTAGACTTGAGTGCTCTCTGCACTCAGGTCGATGTGAAATATTCAGCTTTTCTGAGGGTTAGTGTGTATGTTGTAGTCCAGGACTGATGGAAAAGGCCTTGTTTGTGTTTTGTTATGCAGTGGGAGGATCTGCCTATAAAACTTCTCCATGTATTATTGGTTGAATATTTTTACTTACACAAATAAGCACAGCTTCAAAACATGTCAGAGTTTCTGTAAGGAATAACAATACAAATTGAAAAGGCTCTTCTCACATGTGTTAACAAACCCTGAGAGAAGCCTAAGCAGAGAGAAGAGAGACCTCCCAGAGACTCCTAAAGCTGTGTTTGTTCTGATGCCTTGGTAGTACCTGGACAGAGCTATCCTGAAGTCTCATTTCAAGTGTTCAAAACTTTTTAGCTCAAAGGCATGAATTCAGGTTCTGCCTAGAGCATGTTGCAGTGTGTTCCCTGATGCTGGTTTTGGCAAGTGAGGCTGAGGTATCTCCCCAACAGCCCTGTGTGTCCTGGGTGTGAGGGATGGCAGGTCCTGGGACAGCAGGGCCAACCTGGGTACAGGAGTTATTTGGGTAACAGCTTCACAAGGTGTTCAGAAAAATGAACTGGTTAAAAAGTAATGGCCTTCAGATTTCATTCAGAAGTGATTACCCTCCTTACTAATTGCTTTTCTGCTTGTTTCACACCTGGAGAGTGAGCTGGAATGACATGTGAATGCAGTGACCACTGCCCTGACAGACCATGGAAGCAGCTTGGTCCCACCATATCTTCTGCAATACTTTTGGATTATTTCTTACTATTTTTTTTAAAGAGTGCATCAGCATACATGTGAAATTATAAATATTGTGGCCATTCTAAGGTTTTGTCAGGGCTACCCTTTTGAAAAATAATTTAGATTACAATTGATGTTTCCCTCTAGTTCTGTTTCAGCTTTGCTTTGATCCACTGGTTTTGAGTAGGATAATTTCATGTTGAATCCTATTCTTTTTGTTGGCTTATGGTAGCTACAAAATGCTAAGAAAAAGTCACAGCAGGCAAAGTTGGATATAAAACTCCTGTGTATGTTGGGATGGGAAAATCCAAGGGTTTAGAATTCACAAAATCTTTTAATCCCTTCTTTACAACTCTAGGAGTTTTGCAGCTTTGGGGGCACTTGGGAGTCCCTCCTGTCACCTAGTGAAGGGCACTTTTAAAAGCTGCCTTGGCATTTTCTCTGGAATGAACATATATTTTTTTAATCTTGGATTTTTGTTTTGCTGTCCAACCAAACCTACCAGCAGTGGCTCACCTTACCTCTATGGGAACCTTGCTTTCTCCTCTTACGAGCAGTCCTGGTCGTTTCTGTGCAGCATCCAAGAGCCTTCCCTCTCCAGCTCACAGCCATGTAAATGGACACATTAGTTTCCCTTTTGGACTCTCTGCAACTTTTCCCTACTCATTCCTAAAAAAAACAGTGCAGGACACCCTTATCCCTCTGTCCCTGCTCCAGACCTCATTGTTGATCCCTTTCCTGTCATGCTGTTTCTGAAGATCCAACTCTGTTCTCATTGGCCTCTGTACAGGATATTTGTGTCCTCCCCAACTTATTCCCAATGCAAACAGTGGCTCTAATCGGACACCAATTATTTCCTGTGCTCCAAACATGAGTGGGTTATCCCCAGCCCACAGAATTTATCAGAACAATTTTTGATCTGCTTTTTCTCGCCTTTGTTTTCCATCTAAATGGATCTTTATTTCCCCCCTTAGTTTGGCCCAGTTCTCTGAGATCACATCTCTTTCTTCCCTCAAGGTGCCTCACTCTTCCATCACCCCATTCCCTCTTCCCCTGCTGCCCAGCTCTTGCCATGTCCATCTGCTAAACTCTGTCCTGGTGCTGCCTGTTCACCCCAGCCCTGGTTTAGGCTCCTCTCCCTTCTCATGGCCATTCCAGATGGTCTCCTGGCCTAGGTGAAGGAATGCTCCCTCACACCTTTCCACATTTCTGCATGAAGCTGGTGGGGGAAATTTTGTCAGTTTAGATCTGGAGCTGTCTCACTGATTGACACCCATGTGTACTGTGTAAGCATCTCCTCAAGATTATCATGAGTAACAGGAAATTTATTCACTGTATTTACAGTATCTAAAGCACTTTCAGCCCTCTAATGTCTATGTCTTATCTTTCCTGGAACTCATCCATCCCATAAAGTTATCTAAGCAGTTTGTGTTAAATTGCTGGAAAGAAACCGTTAATGCTTGTATTATGTTTTAACTTGCTTTCCTTTGGAGGCAGGGAATTGTCAAGTAAGTACTAAAACAGAGCCCAGCAACAGCCCAGATTGCTGGCAATGTGCCATGCAGATTGCACAGGTCCAAAGGGGCAAAGAGATGTCATTTGCTACAGTGCAAATTTCTTGTCTTGACAGTGTATTGTCTCGTGTATCAAAACAAATCAGGTGTAGTCACAGACTCCTTAAAATGAAATGACTTCTGAAAATGTTAAAACTGTGCTGCTTTCTGTTTGCTTTATGAAGATGATGATAAGGCAGTGAATGCACACGTGTGTGTATATATACATGTCTATGTATATATGAAAGCACACAAAATCTGTGTTTGCGTGTACTGTCAATAGATATCTATGAAAGTATCTGTGTGTGTGTATCTCCAATTAAACCTCATGCTTACAATCTAGTGACTATCAAGCATGTCATAGTGGTAGTGTTCTCTTGCTTTCATGAAAAATTTTGGCTTGCTCTTGTCATAAACTTTGATACTCCTAAGTAAAGAAATGTGAAAGTGATCATTTTGAAATTACACTAAAACAGAAAAAAGAGCAGGAAGCATACAAGAAAATTACTATTTTGCTAAGTGCTGATGCAGAGGCCCTTGTAGATCTGGGCTGAAATGAATTAATGATTTTATTTTGTAAGAGAATTAAGTTTTGCAATAGCTTCCTCTGCCCCTTCTCTCTGGTGACAGCACTGCTGTTGGGTCCTACTGCACCCAGGGTTATATAAGGGGACTGGAGTGACTGCTCTCGAGAAAATAAAGGTACTTGTGTCCCTGGGGACAAAGCAGGACGGGCTGTCCTGGGAGTGAGCTGGCCTGCCCACCAACAATTATGGGCTAAATTGCAGGCTGAACTGGGATCGAGAACAAGCAGCCATTGTGTGGAGTCTCAACAGTGCTCATGAGGCTGTCAGGTTTCTACCAGTTTCCATCCCTGTCAGGCACCTGCGAATAAACAGTGGAATCATGTTCCCCTCTGGTATAAAGTGTGCAGGAAGCATGGATATGTAGCTTCCTTTTTCCCTCCATCCCATAGCATCTTAAGCTTATGACACACCCAGGGACACCAGGGTGTGATGTTTCTGGATTTGTAGACTGGTGCACTCTTTAATTTCTGTTTTAGTTCTTGCTGGCATGCTTGAACAGCATGTGTTGTGCCACAAGGGAATGACTGCTCCACTCTAAAAGTGCTTGTGCATGAGTAACGTGGGCAGAAGTAACACCTAAACTGTATTAAGTTTCTTGCTTGGCTTTGTTTGCTGCTTACAAGGGGATCAAGGTAACTCTTTCACTCTTTTACACCTGCCTAATGTATTTGTTAGTCCTTAGTGAGTTTGCTTGAGCAGTGGGTTAGTTTCTTTAGCTCCAGCTTTGTTCTGTCTGGTTTAGAGCTCAGATTTTCATGCTGCTTACTCCTGCAATCAGTATTCCCACTGTGTAGCACTGAGTGTTCTAGCTGTGCTGTTTGTCAGTTGTTGCCTTTAATACCTTCCATAAAAATCCAGCTCCAGAAAAAGCAGTTCCCTGTAAGCAAAAGAGATTTCATTCTTCTGCAATTAATTTTTGTAAAACAATAATTACTGTTAGTAGCAGTCTAAGGGAAGAACACTAATTTTCACAGCATATGGAATCTATAACAAGGTCACACTGTTTGGAAGTCTTAACCTGTGGGAATGCTTTCCAAATTCAATATTTCTTAAATATGCTGAGATGAAGCAGTTTGGTTTTTTTACTCGCAGAACCCCACTCCTACCCCAGCCTTCTAGCAAGACCTGTTTTCCTAGTAAAAGATAATCAAAGCTGATAAAGATTCTAGCTCAGCCTCTGTGGGGTCATTTCTCCAGTAACTCAGTGTGATTTTGGGCTCTCTGTTCTGCTGTTACCAGGGTTAGAGTTGGTCCTCGTTTCTGGTAACAGAGAGGGAGAATCATTTTGCCTAAACGAACACAGCTCAAGGGAGCCTGACAGCAGGCATTTGATTTTGTAAGGCTGAGAACATCAGAGCCTGAGCTCCCTCTGCTCCCCTTAGTTTTGTGCCTCTTTTCTCAGCAGGATCAAGAGTAGCAGTAGAGGTTGTTTGGCCCTAAAGACCATTTGCACACATCAGATTTTGTCTCAGCCTGTGTTCTTCATTTGTCTTTTTAGCTACTTTTAGCAACTGTAATTATATAAAAAGGCTTTGCTGGCCTTAGGCTCTTAAATTCACACGGATTAATAACTTGTAAGTCTTAAATTTAATTGTTCTATCTGTAATATGATATTGAGAAGATTTTATTAAAGTCTTGTCAAGGTATTGGGATGGGATTTCTCAGAAGCAGCAAGGTTGAGCAAAGGTCAGCTGCAGCTGTAGGAAATCTGTTAGATCATTTCTGAAAGCACCAATTTGCTATCACCTCTCTTGTTCAAGGATTTTTCCATGGATTTGAATCATTACGTTTGTTTGGTTTTTTTAATGGTGTGAGGTGTTGTGTTCTGCCACTCATCCACAAAATCTACACCAATGTTATTTCTGCTCTTTCCATCAAAATGCATAGGATTTTAGTCAGCTTATTGTACGACCCTAGGAAGAGCTGAGCATGGAGCTCGTAGGGGCAGCTGGCCATTTCCTGCTCACATCTGCTGTGGCTTTGAAGGTCTCATCTTACTTTCAAACATATTGATTGTCCTCTTTTTTGAAATGTTTGTTTCAGGCCACCAGTTAGCAGAGCTGCTCCTCAGCCTGAAAAGCTGCAAAAGAACAACATCAACAAAAAAAAGAAACTGGTTGAGGTCAGGCTTAATATTTTTTCATTTGCTTTAGAAGTAATATGTGCTGGGTGACATTTAGCTGGCATCATGTACAGGTTGAAGTGAAGAGAAAGGGTTTCTTAGAAAGTGCTTTCTGCTCCGGTGGCAAACACCAAAAGATGTGGTAGAGAGAACCTCAGGGTTTAGGGTGTTAAAGGTTGTTGCCTGTGCTATCAGGTCTCCCCACACCCAACCTTTGTCCCTTAACCTGAAGCTGTAATGGCAACTGTAACAACAATCCAGTGACCATCGCTGGGTTTCTGCAGGAAATTTCCAGGGCAATTGCTTATTGTAAGTTGCAGTTGCACCTCTGATTAACATTTTAATTACAGCCTGCCTTGGCTTTTTTTAAGGACTTTAAGGTCAGAATTTGGCCTGTTGAAATTTGGTAGCTTATGAGAATGATTTTTCAAGACTGCAGATAACTTCTGCTTTAAATATATGGTACCCTATATAGATATTAAACTGTGATGGGAAGCATAATAAAATTGGACCTGTTCTGTAAGTTGTATCGATTTTGAATGGAAATTTACAAAAAACAAAGTATTTACAGCCAGGTGAATTAATAAAGAAATGATAATATAAATGCAGTGCCTTAGTTGACTGATTAAAGCATTGTGGGTAGCCAGTGAGCATGTCGTGCCTCAATAAATTAGTAGAAGACTGGGGTTAACTAATTATTGTTTCATTATTTTACTGCCACTACAAGATTCTTGTAGCTAGTGTAATTTAAAATTGTACTTATGCAATCCAGACTCTGAAATCTCCTTGTTTCTTCTTTCATTTCCCTCTTATTCTTTCTCTTTATTCCCCTTGACCAGGAGTTGGCTCTAGACCATGTGTTTGGATACAGAGGATTTGACTGTCGCAACAACCTCCATTACCTGAACGATGGTGCTGATATAATTTTCCACACAGCTGCAGCAGGCATTGTCCAAAACCTTTCTACTGGTAATTCCACCTGAAACAATACTTTGAGATAAAAAATGCTGTATAAGGAAAATATTTTTGATTTCAAGTCTTAACTTTTTAATATTCCTCTGGCTTTCTCCCATTTTGCATCTTGATAAGTAATGCCAAAACACTATAGGTAGCTGGTGTGTCAGATTGACATTTTCTCCTGCTGAGCTCATCCTGTGTCTTGAGATATGGGAATGGCTTTCTCTCCCAGAAGGAGAGTGCCTGGGTGAATAAATGGCCAGTACCCCCAAAACTGTCTCGGGTAATGAGAAGGAGGAAAACCACCAAAAATTTATCTAGCCCTAAGTTGTAGCACCAACATCTCCATGTTATTCACGTCTCTTAAGAAAAAAAGAGAGGAGTTAAAGGAATTTTGTCTTGATTTTATTCCCAAATGACCCCAGTTGTGCACTCAGCAGCTTTGCTGCCAAGGAGCACAGGCAGAAAAGCTGTCGTATCTGGTGGCCTTTGGGGACTCCAGTCCTAGCACAGCCTTGATGCTGGGAAGCATAGACAGCCCCATCTGTTCTTTCTGGGCCAATTCCCTTGGGAAGGTTTTGCTCTCTACTTTGCTTCCCACTGACTGCCTCAATTTACTGGGGTTTTACTAGGAAAAGTGGCCTTACATGTGGCACTTTGCTTCTTCTTGCGATTCCAGGTGGCTATGGGCTGATTCTTGGGCTGATTCCCTGGACACAGCTAGTTTACCAAATACTGCTTTTATAGCTCTATGTGTGTGTTAGTGGTTATGTTCATGGTGCATTTGGGAATGGTGCCTGGGAATGAGAGTGGAGCAGCTGTGGATATCACTGCTGCCCTCCCCCCCATCCCCTGGAGAGTAGCAACAAGCTGCTCAAATAGTCAAAAAGTGTCTCTTTCTTCAATACTGTGGTGAATAACAGCATGCTTGTGTTTCATTAGGTAGTCAGAGCTTCTACCTGGAGCACACTGATGACATTCTGTGCCTCACTGTGAACCAGCACCCAAAGTACAAAAACATTGTGGCCACCAGTCAGATCGGTAGGTGCCTGCACAGAGCAAAGTCATACTCAAAAGTTATCAGAGGCACTGATTGATCTGGGTGCTTTTCCATGTAGGAATTTTGCCAGTGTTACTGTCCTCAAACTTGGATTTTGAAGATGTAATCAAGTTTCAGGGTTTTCTTAGGATTTCAATTCCATCTCTGAGTCATTTGGTTTGAGATAAACTGCCTAAATCAACTCATTAATCTCTAATCATAAGATTTATAGAATTCTCTCTTTCCTTCCTGTATCTGTCCTTTCCTGCACTGGTTAGCAGTGACAGTACACTAAAGACCATTTCCTCTGCAGAAGTACAGGAGCTGGACAGAAAAGGACAGAAATAGAGTGAGATCTCATCAGAAGTTAGGACCCGTGTCAGGGGCCACTTGTGAAACCATATGTATTTATTTATTTATTATTTACATGAGCAGTCCTGTTAGATTCCCTGATTCCCTGGGATCTTGTGCAGGAGTAAATGTCGTATGGGGAATGCCAGACGGCTTGTCTCAAGCCTTTAGAAGGATCTGCTGCCTTTCAGCATAATGCTGGAGTAATAACTTAATGAAAAAGAACAGGGCCAGAACTTCTGCTCAGACCCTTCTGGAAGGAGACTCAAGTCCATAACTTTAGGACAGAAGTAACTTTAGAGGGGGCAGGAAATGGGAGCAATGAACACTGTGTTAAACCACTGCAGCCTGTTCTGAGCACTGTCACTTCAGTTTGAATGTGAGCACCCAAACCTGTGCATGCTGCAGAGCTGTTCAGCTGCTGATTTCTGTGACCGTTCCAGGCCCTTTTCTTAGGGCCCGTGAGATCAGCTTTTCTGAGTTTGCTTGATACTTTGTGTAACTACAGATCTGTTTCACTTTTAAATTTAATGATTTTTAAAACCTGCATGTCTTTAGCATTTCTTTTAAATATCACTTTGAAAACTCGAAAGTACTAAATATTGTTGCAATATTTGTGTATAAAAACCTATATACCCAAAAAGGTTCAACAATATTCCTGCTTATTTGTTCTGTTGATTTAATCCATATCCATTTTCAAGTTTTTGATTTCTTTTTCCTTCTGGTGCTGATGCTGGCACTTCAGCATGAGAAACATGACTTATTTCACCTATTGTTTTCCCTTGGTGCTTCCTCATTTGCCATTGCTCTCACCATGCAGGTGACATGACAGAATTCCCAGGTAAGGCTGATTCCTTTGTGAATTGTAGTCAGCAGAGTTGTGTGCAAGTTTCATGTTGCCTCGTTGTATCTGTAAATCGCGGATACAAGTGGAACATCTACAGACAGTTTCTTTTGCATGAGGCTCTTCATGAATGTTTTGTTTGTTCTTTTAGAACTTGTCTGACTCCATGGACTTCAATGATTCCCTCTGTGTTTTGCAAGCTGTTATGATTTCTCTTTGTTTTCCAGTAGTGTTAATCTTCTAACAAAACCAGCCCCCAGCTTACGTCTGTTCAGGTTAAATGTTCTTGGAAAATGCCTGTTTTACTTTCAAGCTTTCCAGAATTAATTATCTTTTAATCCATCTCTTGGCCCACAGGTACAACTCCCACAATTCATATCTGGGATGCTATGAGTAAGCAAACGATTTCGATGCTGCGTTGCTTCCATACCAAAGGGGTCAACTATGTGAACTTCAGTGCAACTGGCAAACTCCTGGTGTCAGTGGGAGTTGACCCAGAACACACCATCACAGTGTGGAGGTGGCAAGAAGGTAACTCTGGAAAAAAACCACATTCCTTCAGCCTGACACAACTGTGCATAATGATTTGCTTTGCCTTTCAAGTCTTTGGACTAGATTTGTGGTTTTGCTCTGAGTATCTCAGGCCCCTAAGTCCCAAGGTCAGTGAAAGGAGATAGCCAAGAGCTAGAAAATATGAATAAGAAGGTAAGTTTTAAATATCTGTTGCAAATAGAAGTAAGTTAAGGAAAGAACATTGCTTAATACAAAAATGAATTGAGATAATTTCTTTTTTTTTTTTTTCCTTAAAATACTTGAAATTCTGTGCTGTAGATAAAAGTATTTACCAGAAAATAATTACCATTTTTAGAAATGGTGGAGAGGAGAGGAAAAGTGTCTCAACTCACAAGTCTGTCCTTGAGCATTTCACCAGCTGGGAACTCAGTGGTGATATCCAACATCTCTGTGTTGTTGTTTCACTGACCCAAGACGTAGGCTGTGCTCTGAAGGCCTTAAATCTGCATTTCCTGAAACTGCTGGATGCAGTGGAATAACCAGGGACCTTACAGGTTGCATGTATTAAGACGTTTGATGCACTGCATCATGTTGGGATTTGCAGTGTTCAGCATCTGGGACACAGTTTTCTAAGCCAATACCTGGTCAATTTATTTTATAAAATGGCATCAGAGCTTAATTTAGCAGCTAAATTTAACTTTATTTTTCTTCTTTCCTAACTGAAACAGGGGCTAAAGTTGCTAGCAGGGGAGGACACCTGGAGAGGATCTTCGTTGTAGAGTTCCGCCCGGACTCTGACACTCAGTTTGTGTCTGTTGGGGTGAAGCACATGAAGTTCTGGACGTTAGCTGGCAGTGCTCTGCTGTACAAAAAAGGAGTCATAGGCTCCATGGAAGATGCCAAGATGCAAACCATGCTTTCTGTTGCCTTCGGAGCAGTGAGTTCATGTTACATTTTTATTAAAACTGCAAGTGCCGATATTCTTTGTTAAAGTCCAGTCCTGTGGGGACAGGGCAAGACCTTAGAGCTCATGTTTGTTAGTGAAACATGGATTCAAACCCTGTACACCTTGAGATCCTTACCTGAACTTTCTAAGCATGATTGGGTTTGTGTTAGTGAACAGTTTTTGTTCAGGTCTGTGCACACCTGCCTACCTGGCTTTTATCCTTTTTGCTTTGCTGGTTATTTAGCACTTCACTGCTTAACTTGAACTGTAATCCTGTAGTTCGTGTATAGGCTTCAACCTTTTTTTCTGCTAATGGTGTTTGGTATGGCACATGCTAGTGATACAACCAGTGGTGGCAGTGTGGAAGTCTGTCCACTGTGGTCATCAAGGAATTCTGATTTTAATTTGAAGAATTTTAATTGAAGCTGAACAAAAATGCCGAGGTATTTATCAGAGATTGTTGCTGTTTGTTGCAGAATAACCTTACATTCACCGGTGCCATAAATGGAGATGTCTATGTCTGGAAGGATCATTTTCTGGTCAGACTTGTGGCAAAAGCTCACACAGGACCAGTGTTCACCATGTACACGACCCTCCGGGATGGACTCATTGTTACAGGAGGGAAGGAGAGACCGTAAGACACACAATCTTCCTAAAGTGTCCAACTTTTGTCTCCCTTCTTCGTTACTTTTCATTTATGCTATCAAGATAAATGGTCTCTGTGCTGTAGCAGTGTCACTCCAAATTTTGCATAACCTGCACAGATGCCTGAGGAAGTAAAGGACAGTAAGCAGGACACTCAGGGGTTGCAGTAACACATGTTATGTGCCAAGGACACACTGACCCTCTTAGAGATTGATCTGAACACCTGGATAAGCTCCTTGCTGCCTGAGCTCCTGCCAGACTGCCATAAGTGGGTTTTTCTTAATTTTTTAATTCTGTCAGAGTACAGACAGCCTCTCCCAGTGGAGACTCTGTAAGGGCTTCAAGTTACCAGAAGTAACATATTTGCCAAGTGACAGATTTGAGATTAAGTGGCAAGAGAACAGTTTGTACAAATTATGATGCTGTTTAAAGCATGAAGTGTGATAGCATTTAATTTTTTATTTACTTTCCATTGCACGATAGTAAGGTGTATAGAGCATATATATTCCTATATAGAGTAGGAGGTGATTCAATGCATGTTTTATGATTTAAGCAGGAAAGTACTGCTGGGACTTACACGTGGGATTTGTTGTAGCCTGTGCAGAAGGAGACACCTGGGTAACACAACACGCTTCTTTGCAGCACGAAGGAAGGGGGAGCAGTGAAGCTGTGGGATCAGGAGATGAAGCGGTGCCGCGCATTCCAGCTGGAGACAGGACAGCTCATTGAGTGTGTGCGCTCCGTCTGCCGGGGAAAGGTGAGCCCTGTGCTGCTCTGGGGGCAGCCCGAGGGATAGACCTTCGTCAGGTTGTGGGAGGCGCTTTGTCTGCCTTCCTGGCGCTCAAGGATGGGCTTTAAACTGCATTTGTGCTGTTTAGTGTGAGCCTCTCCTCTGCGGTCAGCAGCAGGAGGGACAAGCCTTTGCAGGCCCCTAAGGGACAGTGCTAAGTGCAGGAACATGTGTCATCGGGTAGGACATTACCTCCTGCCTTTCTTTTCAAACAGCAAAAGGAACTCGAGTACTGCAAGGTTTGCTTCCCAGGAAATGCAGGCACAGCTCACGTGCTTCCAGGAGACACAATGGTTCACAGGGTTTTTTGGGTTTTTAAAAGTCACAAAAAATGCATTGAGAATTACGGAGGGACTTCAAGTTTTGGTAAAGTGGAAAACAAGAGGAAGAGTGGAGTAATGTGACTTGAAGTCACTCTTGCACATGTTTAAATCGTGCTTGCAAATGTGAAAGGAGTGTGTGATGCTGCACATGATGGGTAACTGTCCAGCCAAGCACTTCAGAGAGTGGTCTGGATTGCACTTGACATACCTAGGCCCAGGAATTTGACATACTCCTTGGTAACACCACCACTGAGGAATGTTGCTTTATATTTCCAAGCAAGTAATCATTAGCCAGGTCCAAACTATTTCTATTTATGTTTTTTTCAAGTTTTTTCCAGGGAAACTCTTGCAGTATATGTCACTGCAAGGGGCTTTTGCACAGTCCAACAGAGCCTAAAACCCAGAGTTGATTTTATTATTGCCCAAATATTACATGGAGTTACCGCAGAGGTATGAGAATTGTGCTTTGCCAACTTGTATGTAAACACTTTGATCGAATGAAAATCCTTAATGGCAAGATGGAAATGCACAGCCATCACTCACCAGTAACACCAGAACATGCTGGCAGATCTCAAGGTGTTCCACTGTCCCTGCATGCACAGCCAGTATGAACTGGGATGATATCACAGATATTTCTGCAATGCATCAGAACTTTATTGCTGTCGGTATATTCTGTGACTGACAACTGCACTGACAACCTCTCTTATTCATTTTAATTTTGGCTACGAACAGGGGAAAATCTTAGTGGGAACAAAAGATGGAGAAATCCTTGAAGTAGGAGAAAAAAATGCTGCTTCAAACTTGTTGATTGACTGTCACATGGAAGGGGAAATCTGGGGCTTAGCAACTCACCCCTTGAAAGACATGTTTATCTCTGCAAGTAATGATGGAACAGCAAGGATCTGGGACCTGTCAGACAAAGTGAGTATCATGGAATGGAAGAGTATGTGACTGAAAGTGAACATTTTATACAGCCGTGCCCTTGAGCAGCCTTGTAATCAGAGAGCTTGGTGAGGGTGTGATGCCACACTGTCCAGCAGCCAGCATTCCACGGGGATTCATGAGCACATGTGCCAATGGAGTGCCTCTTGTTGGGCACTGCTGACTTGGATATAAAGTGCAGGCTGGTGGATCAGGGAAGCACTTTAATTCCACACTGCCAGTCTGGGTGACACAGACTGTGCTGTCACTACCACACAGCCCCTGCCAATCAGCCTGGCGAGCACAGCTCCCTCCTTTTCAGAGCCTTCCTTTGGAGCCCATCATGTTGTGTCAGGGTCCTTTTTTCCAAGTCAAATTGACTAACAACTACCATTTTTTAAAATAACAAATAAACACTTCTTAAAAATAACTGAAAGGTTCCTGCTCCTGGTGGCTACAGAAGCCTTTTCTAAAGGTTGTTCATTGCCTGAGCTAATAGAGATAACCTTTAATAAGGCAAATGAATATATCATAACTACAGTCAGCTAAGTGAAAATGCAAGAGCTTTCTGGGATGTTTTCACGTAGCAAATGAAATGGAAAAGTCCCACCCTGATCAGCAGTTCTAGAAGATATCAAAGTTGCTTTTCCAACAAATTAGGAAATTGAATTTTCAGCTTCTTCTGCTAAACAGTTGTTTTTCTGGTATAGAACTTGCTGTCACCCTACCACATAGATGCAAACATGAAGCTCCCGTCTGAGCTGCATCTCTAATTTGAAGTCTGCTTGGTGACATGTGCCTGGTGGGATGTGAGTTTCGATGTGAACTTTCAGGTTTATATTTAGAGGGAAACATAGACAATTTGTTTTGAATTAAGCAAGTTTCATACTTTGTGTTTGGAAGCTTTCCATGTGCTCGGGAGGTTTCTCCAGGGGAGGTGTGAGCCTGTTGGTTCTGTTGCCACAGAAGCTGCTGAACAAGGTGACCCTGGGTCACCCGGCGCGCTGTGCCGCCTACAGCCCCGACGGGGAGATGGTGGCCATCGGCATGAAGAACGGAGAGTTCGTCCTTTTGCTTGTCAACAGCCTGAAGGTCTGGGGCAAAAAGAGGGACAGGAAGTCTGCGATCCAGGATATCAGGTATGTCCCAAAGCTCAGCTCTAAATGCACAGCCCTGGCTCAAGGGAATTGCCATCAGGTCCCAGGTGGACTTCCAGAGGGTTAGTAACTCTGAATCTGCTCAGACCTGTGGAAGTGCACTCACTGGCCAGGCAGTGGCTGTACAGACACCTAAAGCTTGTGTTTACGTACACCTAAAGCTTATAAATCTGAGATACTACACACTTGTTTTCCCTGTGTTTTAACTATAGCCACACTGCAGAGCTTTGATTATGGGTTATTATTACAGTACTTTTCCAAACTGCCATTCCTGTTGCTTTCTCCCAGGGGATTAGTGTTACTCTGCACATTGGGAGTGCAATGTTAACATCAATTAACTACAAACACTATCCTTAGTCTTCCTCTTAAGCATCCAAGTTTGCTTTAGGTTCAATCTTGCTGTCAATAGAAGGCTTTTCTTGTTTTCCAGTAAAACCAAGTTCCTCTGTTAACATGAGAAACAAAAGCAAATATTGCACAGAAAGAGCCAGCGACATCCCCATTCCATGTTTTATTGTCTAGGATCAGCCCAGATAACAGGTTTTTGGCAGTGGGTTCACAAGAACATACTGTGGATTTTTATGATCTCACTCAAGGCACAACCCTAAACCGAATTGGCTACTGCAAGGACATTGCCAGTTTTGTCATACAGATGGACTTCTCTGCAGACAGCAGGTACATCCAGGTACGTCCGGGGCTGCCCCGTGTGCGTCGGCATTTCTTGTGCCTTGCAACGAGATGGAGGCATGGGATGTGCTACAGGCAAAGGGTTCTCTCAGATGAAGGGAATTGGTACAACACTGAGAAAGAAATTGTGGGTTATAGCAATACAGAAGCAGTTCTCCTCCTCCCTGATGCTGGGATGCATGTGAGAGCTGAATTAATTTGTGAGGTTTCCTTTGGAAGTGTTTCTGGTTTAGTAAAATTGGGTTGAGATAAAGCAGAGAGTAAAGCACTGAAAGGAAATCTGTCAGCTCTGCAGCATACTTAGTAACACCTCCTTCCACTATCATCCTCTAATATTGTTCCTTTGTATTGCATGGGACGAATTCTAGGAAAAAAGAGAAATTTTATCCTAGATGCTTAACTCCTGATAAAAGTTGGTGAGACTATTGCTGCTGGAAATCTTAAAGAAAATTATTTATTTATGGCAGTTACCAGCCTTTTTCTTTGCCACTTCCAGGTATCAACAGGTGCCTACAAGCGTCAAGTTCATGAGGTGCCACTGGGAAAGCAAATAACAGATCCTGCAGTCATAGAAAAGATCACCTGGGCCACGTGGACAAGGTAACAACCCAATGACAACACTGAGGGGACGGGACAGAACTGAGATCAGGTCATGAGATTTGGTTGGGTAAAGCTAATGCTAAATGTCCTCAGGGTCTGGCAAACCCACAAGTGCACGCACACTCCTGCTCAGAGCTCCAGCTGACACACTTGGGTGTTTTTACACACATTTGTTAGCTGTTTGGTGTCCAGAGT